TGAAGCTTTGAATTCATTTTATTGGTATACAGCAGCAAAACACGGACAAAAAGCCCAACGTATTTCATCTCGCCATCGCCAATCGCCAGCATGTGCGTAGTAGAATAATGAGAGCTCTGTTGCGCTCTGGATGACCATTACTCTGATTCTAACGGTTTGCCCGCTGCCTAATCCATATTCAAAAAGAAGAGAAAAGAGGAAAAGAGAAAAAAGAAGAAGAAACAGGCCATAAATCGATGATAGGGAGTGAGGGAGAGAAGACACCCATGTGCAGTGACACTCTAGCTCTCAGTTGCTTCGCAGAGGAACCGAAGAAAGAACATTCTGAAAATAAGCCATGCTGTCAGTAAACTACCTCTTCCGGCCCTTTGACGGTTTCTGGAGCGGTGAGTAGTCTTGTATGAATTGCGCATCCTCCAAGCACTCTATTACGACCGGATTGATAAAGACGTGATTCTGAAGCCCGCCTTTAAAGATAATCCTCATGAGGCTTGTTCTGAAGTAGAGAGACCACGTATCGATTTTGGCAACGTGGTTACCCAACCTCAGCTTGCATCGATAACCGTACTCTGCTTGTCCGTCATCGGTGCGCTGTGAGGCGGGCACATGCTCGCCCTTTTCGGGAATGTAGAGGGCGGTAGAGTAGAAGGGGCCAACGCCCCTCTCGAGAGAGGTCACCACACTCATCAAATTTTCTCGCAGACTCCGACGGTGCTTTCTCGACACCGATTTGGCACTGAGCTTGGCCAGTTCGCCCATACGGCCAGCCAACCTTTGCGGATCATACTGGAGCTGAAACGGCTCGCCTGTTTCTTCAACGTGGTTCCGTGACGCCTCAAAAATGAGGGCAATGCAGCCGCCGGCATTGGACTGGATCTCCACATCATCGCTATCAAGCTGGTCCACAAACGCATCCATGGCCATATCGGCAAAGTCAGAAAAATCGGACACATGACTGGCGACAAAGCACCAGCCTTGGAGAGCAGCTGCGACGATTACGGCGTTGTCATGGGCCTCAATGTGCTCTCCATCGGTCCGCACAATCTCGACAAGGAACTCCATGACTTCCAGGGCAGCCTCTTCTAGGCCGCCAGCATAGAGCACTGTGAGACAGAGTGCATATATCGCATAGACACGACAATCGTCGTCATCATCGTCCGTCATGATTTGTTTGAGAATCTTTTGTGCGCCGTCAAAAATCTCCAGGGACCCGACCGTTCCGATTGTGAGACAGTAGGCGTGCAGGCTTAGCAGCCGCTCCTTGGCGGTAGCAGCACGATTTGAATCGTGAAGGAAAAGCTCTGCCAGCTCACCCGAGGCATCGTCCAGCCATAAATGGGTGTCGGCGGTATAGTGGTTCCGAATCGTTTTGATGTAAACGCTGAGGAAATATTCTCGCATCTCGCCGTTGTTGTGTTTTCGATCTCGGAGGCCGTCTATCAGAGCCCTTGTGTCGAAAACAAGAGCATCGGGCTCTTCGGGTGTTTCGTCGTGAGATCCGCCGGAGTAGACGCTTGACGCCATGTCGTCCAATTCAAAATCGCCATCATCGTCACTGACATCGGATGTGACGCGGCTGTGGGCGGCAGAATTGGTGGGTGATGCCAATAGCGAAGGCAGAGGAGAGCCCCGCGGCGTGTTGCTTCCGGAGGCACGGCCAGACTTGATGGCCTTTTTGGAGACGGTTTTCCCGTTGCCCTTGAGGGCCTTGACTCGAGCGTGGTTCATCATCTTGAGTAAAGAAGAAGAAGAAGAGTAAAGTTGCTAGAGAAAGAAGCTGGATGTAAAGAGGAAAAGAGGAGAAAAGATGCTGCGACGGGCAGTCGTCGAGCTTAAATATCAACTCTGGACCAGTGAAAGTTTAAGACTTGTAGGGAGACGATGGCAATTTAAACGTTCCACTAGGTATTCCACTCGTGCAGCCCTTGGTGGCCAGACTCTGCTTCCCCCCTTTGAGTTCGATGGAAGCACAGGCTACGTCACGTCGGTTTGCGCTTGGGTCTGGATGATCCAAGGTTGTTTGCGAGAGCGTCGGATGCTGGCTTGGTGAGGCTATGGAGGAGTAGACTGTCCATGAGAGTCGAGATGCAGTGCAGCGCAAATTGGCGGGTGGCGACAAGAGAAAAGGGCGAGAGCAGGTGCAGTTGCAGCGGCGTGAAACGAGAAATGCGACGGGCGACCAGAAATAGCTTACGCAATGTTGAAGGGAGCAAGATTGGGAAAAGGTGATGAACGGGTGAGGCCAGAAAATAAAGCAAAGCAGCTGAGTGGTTCGGTGGCGTTCGGTTTGTGGGCATGACCGTCTCGCAAAGCTGCCCATGTCGACGCTACCAAGAAACATGGGCGCTAGGCTGATCGGGGCAAGTAGCCGGTACTTGGGCTTAGGGCAAGGACCAAGCGGCCCTGAGATCGCCGGCGAGAGCATGTGAGAAGCTGCACTGCACAGTTGACTGACAGGCGGACGGTAATACGAATGTAGAGGTACAAGAAGCAAAGGTACTCGTTATTCCCAGGCATGCGTGATGCGACACAGTTGGGTAGATGTTCTGGTTCAGCATCATCAAATACGGACAGCCATACGATTCCAAGGTAAAAGCCGCTGCAACAGAAAAACACCCAATCATTTCGCTGCCTCAAGTTTATATGGTTTCTCTCTCTCTTCTCCAAAGTTGCTGTGCTTCGGCCTTGCTTCGGCCTTGGGCAAACCCCCAACCCGCCAAAAATGTCGAAGCTTTTCCACGAGACAGGTGGCTAATTGCTATGTACCTTATTGAGGTGTGAATCCTTACTACAGCACGTACATACGACGATGACGATATAGAGATGGAGAACTTCCCCGGTACCGCTAGCAAAGTAGCTGTACTTTTATCAGGCTCCGTGCCCCATCCCCCCCAAGCCAAGTTCGGGCTGGTTTCTTGCTCCGGTCTCTGAGCTACTCCGCAGAAAGATGCGGCATCCCTGTTGGTCATGCGTCATTGCTGTAGCCACTTTAACACACAAAGGATTCCCGGGTCTCAATAAAGCCGGTTTATCTTTGTCTCGTCTCGTCTCTCTGTTCTGCTCTGTGCTTGTCGCATCGGGCATGCCTGGCTGAACTTGCGCCTTGTCGCCGGCTTACTGTACTTGCCTCGGTGACGGACTCCGAGAGATGATTCGTGACCATCTGTTCGTCTTATTTGTATTGGCTCGTATCCCGTCCAGAGTGCCTTCACGTGCTGCAACTGCGATTCGTTTCTTGGCCTGCTATTGACGGCTCTTATGCAGCGTGGCGGGGCATGGCTCGAGCCCTTGGGCATCGGGTCAGCAGGCGGCCGGCCATAGGGAGGAGCAGAACTGGCAAATAAAGGCGTTTGAAGGGGGACGAGCCCAGCCTTATTGGATTGAAGCTGTTGGCCGCCGAAACCCAAGACGAGGGGTTTTCCCCTACAGTGCTATACTTTGTAGAGAGTACAGCCATGTACCTTGGATGCTCAACAACCCAACAGTACGTGCAAACTTGCGCGTGAGTGGATGAAGCCATCTCCGCCTCGAAGCCATCTTGCTGGGGCATGCCGTGATAAACAGCTCACTCCGCATGGCGAGACTCGCTCACGCTGCCCTCCCTGCCGAGCCGGGCTATTTATTGCTTGGTATACTCGTACTAATAGTACTGGAAGTGATCCGGAATGGAACCTCACATAAGACGTGCTCCGACCTGCCCAGATCACACATCCATGTCTTTGCAACATGTGGCCTGCAGACCCAGGCAAGGCAAACGGACCCCCATTTCTGCCGGACGACTTGGGACTGATGTAGATGTATGTTGCATGTACCGATACCCCTACCGGCGGCGTATCGACAGCACCTGAATCATGCGTCGAGTCGTGGCGCTAAGGCAAAGCAAAGCAGCTGCAGCAGCTGTGCTGCACCCGTCGCGGCCCATCAATTGGCTGGCATGCCGTGGGTATCGGTACTCGTACCTGCTTGTAAGAATGCGGGAATCAGCGCTGTTGGTACCTGTGCTGCACTGTGACTCGCCCACTTGGCAGCCCAGCCATGGCCACGCAAATCTGCAGAGACAACGGGGGCCGCGTTTTTGATCATGCTGCATCCGTTGATTCATCTTCTTCTCCTCTTTCTCTTCGTCGAGACCGAAAAGGTTCGTTGACGGCGGCTGCGTCGCAAAATACAAAATACAAAATACAAATACAGATACCAGCACAGCGCTGCAATCTGGCAGTGACATACTCGGCTTCGCAAATGCCCCACCCAAGCTACGATAAGCCACCCATCGCGGGGCTTATCGCTGCTGCCCGCTTCTGCCTGGGGCTGCCTACAGGGCACATTAGTGCCGTATAGGTAATGATGGATGGAGAAACCAAAGTACTGCTACATTCGCATCAACCGCTCCTATACGGCACAGTACATACTCGTACCTTGCCGTTGGCCCTTGAATAAACCTCGAGTCCCATCTTTTGCGTTATCTAAGTTCATATTGTACCAGGTATTGTATCTTGCACATCGGTACGACTTGATGCTGCACCAGATTTCTTCACTATCACTTCACATCAGCATCTCCCAGCCTGACCGCGAAATCGAAACGCTGGTTCGCCCGGTCAACAACCTCCCTTGAATCCCCCTCGGCTCAGCGCCAAACCGCCTCTCTCCCACCCGTGCCAACCAGCTGGATGCGTTCATGTCAAGTACCCTCTATCGATTCTTCAAAGTACTCGGACCCCAGCGTTTTAAACTTCTGAGGTCAAAGTGACTCGAGCCCCACCCCATCCTTTACTTCCGAAGCCTCGACTTTCTCCTCTCTTGGCCAAACAACTTCTTCACTCTTCTTTTTAATCTGCTTCATCCCCCCCATCTTCTCTCTTCCACTGCGCCCTTCCATCCCCGAATCCGATCCCGAATCTCCTTCGTCTATATTGCAGCCCGGCCGCAGCTGCGCACAGGTTCCGACCGACTCGACTCGATACTTGCAAGGCGCCCACGGCCCAGATACCTTCAGATTCATCATGGCGTCGCCCTGCCTTCGTGACCAAGGTGAGCCTCCCCCCCGAGGTGCGGCGCAGCGTCCGAGACTCTCCAAAGCTAATCTCCTGTGCAGTGCTGGTCACCCTGACCGCTGTGAATCCGCCTTTTGACTTTGCCTTTCCGACTCGTCACCTTCTACTCGAATCGGACCAATCAATCCCTCTCGGACGTATGAGCAAGAAAAACACCACATATGCTGCCACCGGAAAGAATGGCTGGATAGATTCCGCCGTCATGTCCAGAAGCCATGCCTCGCTATCTTTTGATAAACAGCACAATGTAAGTTGCATCATCATCCAAACGGGGGTGACAATCTGTTCCCAACTAATTCGCATGCAGGCTGTTTTCCTCAGAGATGCCGGTTCCCTTCACGGAACCTTTTATAACGATACCCGATTGAAGCCTCATCAAATCCAAGCCATCAAGGATGGTGACCTGATCCGGTTCGGCATTCCTGTTGACAGAGGATCAGATATATGTGCTCCTTGTACCATGGAAGTTGGTGTTCAATTTGGGCCGCAGAAGTATGCATCTCCCCTCCCCTCCCCCCATTTTAGCTGAATTCTAACGCTTTGATAGCTTCTTTCAAGCCCCGACCGTTTTCAGAGTGCCCGATGAGACCGATGAGGAAGAGAGCGCCGAAGAAGATCACGGCGATAGTACCATCCGACACGGCCTGCAGGTTCTACGAGACAACAATATTCGTCCGGCCAAAAACTGTATCGCTCGACAAGAAATTATCGCTATTGACCTATCTGACCACGAGATGGGATCGCCTGCGCCCGAGGATCAAACGATCTCTACCAGGTCCATCCAGGATCTGATGACTGACGGGGCTGTCTCTGAGCAATCTCACTCACGCATACATTCTCCTCCGGGAACGATTGATATCCCAGACGATATCCCAGACGATATTCCAGACGATATTTCAGACGACGACGGCGTCTTCTACGAAGACGAGTATGAGGGGGAGTACATGTCTGAGTCTGATGACGATTCCCATGGCCAATCTTCACTAGAAGACACTCATCTCGATCACGCTTTAGATCACGATCTGTTGGACAGCGACCAGCATGTCCCTCATATCGAAGCCACAGAAATCCATGAGGCAGAGATATTTGATCGATTTGAAAACCATTGCCTACCTCCCATCATGAATTTCTCGCTGCCAAACGCAGCCTCTGTTCCAAATCAACCTTTGCCTGGCGTGCAGCTGCCGTCCCTCTTTGACACTTTCCGATCGCAGGATATATCCACGGGTCAACACAACACAACATACAATCACACCAACGAAACAGATACCCCAAATCAATCTTTTGTTAGTGTCCCCACGGCCCCGGAGCAAGTCGAGACCAGATTCTGGCCCGAAGACGTTGCCCAAAGTCGAGCAACCGAGTCCAGCATTCTGTTAGACTCGGGAGCCGAGTTCCTTAAATCTCCGCTCAAGGAGCATCTTGAGGTACACATAAGATCGGAAGAAGATACTCTTGACTTTGACGAATCTTCCGCCTACCAATTCGAGGTAACCAAGGCCGCTCTTCAGCAACAGCGACAGCAGAAGCAGCCAGTTTACCAAGAGGAGATTCACCAAGAGGAGCCGAGTCAGCAAGACGAGCAGGTTCAGAATCAGCAACAGCAGCCGCAGGCTGAGCTTACAAGTGTCAACGCGGATGCTGATCAGCCTATGGAGTCCCCAGAGAAGGCGGTTCGAAACAAACGCAAGGCATTGGAAATTTCCGAAATGACTGCCGAGGAAATCCCCTTCGCCAAGCTCACCCCACAGCTCACCCATATTCAAGACTCGTCTCCAGCTTCTGCAAAACCTAGGTCTGTTGACGACTCTGTAATGGATATCTCTCCCGTTGACGTCCACTCCGGAGCCGAGGAGCCGCAAGTGAAGCGACTGCGCAAAGCTGCTGAGATTTTTGGATATGCGGCACTTGGGGGAGTTGCTGTCATGTCTGCCTTGATCGCCACTGCCCCAACACTATAAACGTTGTGGCATCTGATGAAATATCCATGCAGAACCCCTCGGTCACGATTGTTGATTCTTATTGAAACTCTTACTTTGCTTATCCACTTGTTTTTTTGTCCTTATTTTGTCCTCAATATGGATGTTTTGCTTTCTTTTTGATGAAAGAAATTCGACTCCTCGGACTGAGTACCCAATATAATTGTTGGAGTTGGGGTATATGATGATTTTGGTTGCCAATCTGTCGCCTGCACTGCAGCCGATTCTCGGCTTTTGTTGGCTGAATTGGACAGGATTCAGGCTTGACTATTGTGGTCACTTGCTTACTTCTACACGGTCTTCTTTTCATGTATTTCTTTCTCTTATCTACGAAACCCTGTGGCTACGATCTTAGCTTGGTATGTCATTAGGGGTCTCGCCGCTTTTTTCTTCTTTGTAATAGTGCTATAAATCTCTAGCTTGGAGGAAAGGCAATAAATTGAAACTTCTTTTTCTTCTTCTTCTTCCCCTTACATTCGGTACTTGGTTTTCGCGTGTGTCTATTGTTGATTGGCATAATCTAATTGGTATCTTGTATGCATCAACGAAACTCGAACTTGTGATATCTCAACCGCTTGTTCTGTTTTGTTTGGCCGCGTGGAACTTCTTCTAGCCACAGCCCATTGTGTGTTACTGACACACAGCAAGAAGTGGTTTTGAATCTCCGAAGGCTTCACAGGGCGCCCGCTAGACACCAATCAAGTTGTGTCGTTACGGAATGTTTTCGTCAGCGCGTGATACTCGTGGCACGCCTGGGCTTTTCGAACGTTACAGCCTTATATCACCACCTTTATCTTGTGTGTGTTTGCTCTAGTACTCGACAAAAGGAAACTCGGTCAATACTACAACACAACGTGATAATCATGTGTGAAAGGCTGGTGAGGTATACTTCCATTAGAGGATTGTCGTTCTCACAATGGGCAAACGTGAATATGATTTCGTCTCCTAAATCAGATAGATACGTTAATAGAAATGCCAAAATCAGAAGAAGAGCTTCAGGGGTCACCACAACGCCACAGGAATTACCCTGTTTCATCATCCGCCTAGGAACAAATCAACACTACCATAATCCAAATTAGCTTGATAATTTTAAAAAGGAAAATTGAAAGGAAATAAAATTGCAAAAAAAAAAAAAAACTTTTCAACAGTTGCCTAAAGAGGCAGTGCCGAGGTGTCGGAGACGGTCTGGCGAATAAGACGCGAGCCTGGCCCTCCTCTGGTAGACACAGTCGTGTATCTTTACACCATTTTCGACCAAACCGCTTACCCGCAGGGGCGTTATTTCGGTGTTGACAACGCGAGCTCGAGTCACCGCCTCCTGAGCCAGCAAGGGAAACTCTTGGGGACAGAGAAGGAAAAAAAACTTCGTATTGCGGCAGCAACAGAACCGAGCGGCGGCCGCTCTCAAGGCCTTTTCCCCCCTGACTAACATAAATGTCTGCTACGTCAACTCTCTCCCCGTATCGGTTTGTGTCTCTTCTCTCTTCTCTCTTCTTCTTTTTCTCTTCCTTGTCTCTCGTCTAGGTTCGCTCGGCGAAGCAAATAACCGAGCACATCGGAACCCTGATCCGAGAAAGGTGTCAATGCACGCCGCCATGACGGGTGTGTACACAGAGGAAAAGCCGGTGAGGAGCTTTATCCGCGAGGGAAGAAAAGGCCAAGAGACCGGTCTGCGAAGGATCAACAGCCCCCCACGTGGCGGGCCGGTCAAAAAGGTTCGGAAGGGCTATCCGCATCGGTTGACGCCTGATGCAGCTTTCCATGATTCGATCATTGAGGGGTCAGCTTTTGTTTCTTGTGGCGTGAAATAAACGATGGTACAATGGGTACGCTGCAGAGCTTGCGACTGATGACATAGATTGGTCGGCCTGGTGTCTTTTTCAAGGGCAGCAAAGGGTACACAGAGCGGGTTTTGATTCGTGGGTCATATTGTGTGGCCCAAACTCGTATCCGAGGGGAGCCAAGAAGAGTGCCGATGTAGGCCTGGCGACTGATGCTCAAGGTTTCTCCGCGCCTGGGCTAGGTAGGCTGTTGTTCTCTCGGCGGGAAGCATCCAACCAGGGAAAGCTGCATGTTGTCTTGTGCTCCGGGAACACCAGCCACTGCGTCGGATCCATCATCGTCGAGACAGCCAGAGACGCGCCCCCAATTATCAGCCGTTCGCATGAGCCTTGTAAAGTGCAATAACCGCGTTTCCCGTGCCGAAATAACAGACGCCATGCAACTGCCAAGACAAGAAGAATCGTCATCTTGCAGGCGCACGTTTTGGGGCTGAAACTCGCAATTTATCTCGGCTGGAAAGCTGAGCGAGCTGGGTCGACAGGGCAATCCTCAAAGAGCTGACCGGTCCGGTTATTGACAAATGAGAAGGGAGCATGCCGATCAGCCATCCGGGTAGCTGCATGGATCCTCAGCTCCAGAGCACAGAATGGAACGGTCCGGGTTAAGAGAGGACAGCGTACGGGTCCAGTGTCGCAGTTAAACAGTCAAATCGGCTCATTCACGGTAGAGCGGCAGTTGCCAAACTCCTTCTCATTCGACGGCGGAAAGGCGAGGGGAGTATGATGAGGCGGTAAGGCTTTTTGTTCGACGTCGCCGAGCGCTTGTCCGTGACAGTGGCGCATATAGGCCATGGGCTGAGCGTTTTATGATGCCAAAGCGGACAGGATTCCATGTAAAATCCATGTCCAGCCCGGCGGGTCGGTATCACGTTGCCTATAGCTTAGTTGCCTCGTCTATATGTCGAGGCAACCACACAAGGTGGATAGAGGCCATCGCGAGGTTTGTTGCATCCGATGTGATGATGGCTTAGGTTATAGCTGAAAATAATCGAGGCGGTCAGAAGGATTCGCAGTCTTTCTCGCAGTGTATCATGAAGTCAAACGGGTTGGATTGGCGGCCAGGCTCCTGAGTCTCTGCCAACGCAGAGATGAGTATTTAAGCAGATGGTCCGCCACGTATTCTCTCCAGTGGAATCGCTCCTTCAAGTGTTCATTTCAGCCATCTTCCCATCATCAGCTATTCCTTTCCTGATCCACTCAATTCAAACCTTGTTCCAAATAAGCGAGCGTCAACTGTATATCCAGCCATGGCTTCTGAATTTGCTGCTGGCATGAAAGCAGGCCTGGTGCCCATAACCTGCGATATGTGCAGTATAAGACAGTACGTTTATCATTGCCGTATCGTTTGAGGGATCCAATTGCTAAAAATGAACATGAAGGCTCAATTGCGAGTACTGCAGAGGCTCGCTTGTCAGAATGGTCCCCAAGAACTATTCGTATTCGATGGCTTCGCAGTTTGCTCGTCAAGCTGGCAGGTCACCGTCGAAGCAAAACAACCATCCAGATTCGGATCATAGACACCCAGGTGTCCATTCAAAGCGCAGTTAGCACACGTCAAGCAGAATTCTGCATATCAGCGCATCTATGTAAATGTCTTTGGTGTATATTTTCTTTGAGCGGGTGCGAGGATTCAGCCTCGCAATGTGGTTACATTGGGGAAGGATGCCGGTGTTCATACCTACTCAGATTGTAGGAGGTTTTGGCTTCAATTTCTCAACAAAAATGGGATTTCTTGGCGACAGTTCTGCTGGTGGCCCAGTAGTATGTAAAGGTGTCACTATGTGTGACTCTCAGGTTAAAACCTGAACAGGTTCATGTAACGAGCATAGTTTACTGTACACGAATTAGTATATCGCCATGTTACTTTTTTCTTTCTCTAGTTCAATGGGAAACAACCCAATGTAGTGAAGACTCACGTCAAGGCTCGGCAGTATCAGGTTCATTTCGTAGCAGATGAACATCCAAGCCAGAGAGGGCATAGTCGGGGAGCACTGGTTTTCCAACAATTGCTTGCTTGTATTGAAGTAATACTCGGCCTACTTCATGCATGACATGGCTGCCTGTGGCACATCATGGTCATGAGACTCTGAGCATATCATCCATGAAAGAAGCGGCCGTGTTAGAAAGATGGAAGAACATCCGATAGCTGATCCCAGGTGTTGCTTGTAACATTTAGCGCAAAAGCCACTTGCCCAATGGTATTTTATCCTTGGATACCGCATAAACACCCCGGCATAATCATATCGGCAGATGGAGAAGGCATGAATGAATGCAAGAACCGATGCCGTGTACGAAGCCATCTTGGAGTCGGCCCAATCAAGGAGTCGACGGGCAGTCGCATCTGCGGTAAATCACGTGTCTCCTCTCGAAAGCCATTGGCGAAGCAGCACGAGCTGTACCTGTACGAGCCGCAGGTCCACAGCCGATTGCGTTGAGGAATTGAAAATGACTGGCTGTGTATCCCCAAGAAGCTTCTTTTGCTCTGGGGTCGTGCATCTTGTACGTGTAAGTCGTGAGCCTGCCGACTTCCTAGGAAGTCGCTGCGGCTTTTCTTCGGGACAGCGCAGCCCTGAGCTCATCCTTACGTAATCCCAACTGCGGCAGACTAAGCCTTGCCTGGGACCTCCAAAGAACCTCAGCCATGTCGGTCATCGTCATCAAACAAGCTCCAGTCCGTTGCTTTAAAAGGCATTCGATACTGGGTGATTGAGGTACCAAATCCAGTCGCCATGTCCGTTATTTTGTGCACAGGTTGGTGCTACCCCCCCATTCCCAGTCCCATTCCAGTCCCATTCTCGTCACTTGTCGCGAGCTTCTACTAACTGCGATCCAGCGGGTTACGACCACACAATCAGGTTCGCAGGCGTCCACCAAAGGGATGTTGCTTCACGCGCAGTGCTAACTCCCCGCGCCATAGATTCTGGGAGGCGCTATCGGGAATCTGTTCGCGAACGATCCAGCACCCAGACTCACAGGTGAACCGCCTGTGTATCTCCCCCGACAAGAGGTTTCTAGCAGCAGCCGGCCACCACACGGTCAAGCTCTACGATATCAAATCGACAAATCCCAATCCTCTGCTTACATTTGAGGGACATACGGGGAACATCACAGGGGTGGCATTCCACTGCGAGGGCAAATGGATGGTGACGAGCTCCGAAGACGGCACTGTTAAGATTTGGGAAACGCGGACGGGGTCGATCCAAAGAAGCTATAATCATGGATGCCCGGCCAACGATGTGGTCATTCACCCGAACCAGGGCGAAATCATCAGCTGCGACCGGTCGGGCAGCGTAAGGATCTGGGATCTGGCCGAGAACACTTGCGCGCACGAGCTCATCCCCGAAGAAGACGTGTCGGTATCAAGCGTGACGGTTGCTAGTGATGGGACGCTATTGTGCGCCGCAAACACGGCAGTATGTCGCACACAACAAATCCTTTTTCTTTTCACGCCGATTAGCTAACCTCTGCCAGGGCAATGTGTTTGTGTGGCATCTCCGCCAAAACTATGACCAGACGGAGCTGCTCCCAGTAACGCATTTCAGCGCTCACAAGGAGTACATTACGCGAATTCTCCTCTCTCCCGACGTAAAGAAGCTGGCAACGTGCAGCGCAGACCACACGGCCAAGATCTGGGAGATCAAGGACGTCAAGCCGCAGGTCAACGGCAAATCCGACGAGGCGAGGCCGCTTCCCCTAGAGGCTACCCTCACGGGCCATCAGCGATGGGTCTGGGACTGTGCGTTCAGTGCAGACTCGGCGTATTTGGTGACGGCGTGCTCAGACCACTATGCACGACTATGGGAACTGCACAGCCAGCAAATAATACGCCAGTACAACGGCCATCACAGAGGAGCTGTCTGCGTGGCGCTCAACGACTATTCAGAGACACGTTAGAGTCCCACAGATGGAATCGTCGTCGGCTCTGCCATCACATAATACAGGAAACGATGGCATAGCATGGATCTTGGAACTGAAGAAACAGGGGTGATTTGGCGCGGCGTTTTGGTATCGCTTCTTGTTATGTTAACCTTATATCTTTTATTCGGAGACGACGATTGGCGCCGTTTGCTGCCTTTCACATGCTGATATGGCAAACCTTGAGGTGCAGGATTTGCTGTTCCTCACTCATGTCCAAATGCTAGAGGCGGCAGTGACTGCTACAGGTCTCTGGTGTTTTTGCCAAAGTAGACTTGGTTGGAAGATTCTGCCTAGGTCTAATGCCAGCAATGGTGCAATGTCTTGTTTTGGCATATACACGTAACCGACCTGGTCTTGGAAATGGCCGCATGAAGCTATAGATTTTTTTTTTTTTTTTTCAAATGAGTTAATTCTATGCCTATGCCAAGCATCTTGGGTTTGTAATATGTGATGGTGTCGTCGATTTGGCAGCTGAAGGCGATGCTTCAGCCCAAGAGGTGCAGCACCAACTCACCATGGCCTCGCAACTTGTCGCCGTTTGGGGCTGCCTCAGCTCTTATCCTAGCAACAGCACCATTAGAGGTGACGGAACAAGCATAAGCATGGGACAATTGGGGGCTTTTCGGATTTCGGATTTCGCAATACGCTTCCGTGTGCGCGCAAGGGGTTTTTCGGCTTGGCTCGACTTGGTTTTTTTTTTTTTTTTTTTTTTTTTTTTTTTTTTTTTTTTTTTTTTTTTTTTTGCGTCGTATATTAGGCACCCTCCAACATCGCCCCGTTACCTGCACGGGAAGTCAAAACATGAAGCAAGGCCCAAAATAAACCGATTGGCCCAAGTTCAAGACCAAAAAACAACTCCCATGTGTTCATGATCTATCATTAGAAACAGACGTGCACGACGATCTTCCCTGTGCCGCAGCCAAACAAACACCAAGAGAGGCTCATTCTCTAGGTGTCAGGGATGGGCGAATAACCCCCCCGTCCCCTTGTCACTTTTCTTCTTCTTTTTCTCCCATGGAGGGTGTGCTGTGCCCATGAGTTTTTTTTTTTTTTCTTCTCCTCCCCTTCTCGCTAGCTGGAGTGCCGGGCCCTCGGGGTAAAACGACTGGCTGGCCGGCTTTCATCGTCGTCCCAGGAGAAAAAAAAAGAAGAAAAAAAGACCCGCGTGTGTGTGATGCTGGTTCCAAAGGGCCAAGGCGCTGGGACTTGTTCCAGCTGGACAGGGATGTTCGCGGGTACGCTAGCTGGGCGGGACCCCTGGAAAGCCCATTTTTTTTCACGGACTGGGCAGTTGTACAACTAGCGATTGAAGGAAGGCCCGCTATTGAAATGGAATCCTGTGCAAAACACTATTGAATAGTGAGTGCTAGATGGATTAGGGTTCAGGGTCTTGTGATTGATTTTTCTATTCTGTCTTTTTTTTGCGTCATCCACGTCACATCATGTCATGTCGTATATGCGTATACACAGCTCTACAAGGAACCGCTCTGCTGATAGTACCTCTCCGTGACTCAGCCGAGTGACGAGCTTCTTGGCCCGGTGCATTACCACGCTACTCGTACCGTTTAATCGAACCCATGGGGAATGAAGAGGACGGGGACCCTTTTGGCTGCCTCTTTCGCCTCGGGCACAGCCGTTGCTGCTAAACTAAGGCTATCCATTCCCTAGTACCCAGTAGGTCAGTTTCCCAGTACCTTGCCTTAGCCCGGCAGCAAAAAGCTGCATCATGACTTGCGGTGCCTTTGCGTACCTAGGGTATGGAGTCGTGGAGTAACTGACGTGCTAGTTGCTGGCTAGCACCATGTTAGCAGTTGAGAAGCGTGTAAATCCGTTACTTGTAATAGCCAGCGGGTCTCTTCCTCTCTTCCTCTGTGCGTCTTCTCTCCCCGTCTACAGAATGCCAGCAAATGGAATTGCATCAAATGCATCTAATCCCCAACTGCCATTTTTTTTTTTCGCCACCCACGCTCCCCCTTCCGGCAACGCTTCCAATCGCTCTCTCCGGCCCTGCATGCTGCACCGTCGCGTGGCAAACCGGCTAGCCCTTTTTCGACTGGGACGTCAACAATTGCGATGGTCCCCCAGGAAGAAAGGCTGTGCCCGTTGCCGCCCCGCTCTACATAGCAGCCTGCGAAAGCTCCAGGTCAACTTTGAATTCAATAGCACCACTCATAACTCCGGTTGCAACGTTGAAACGTATAGTAGGTACTGGACCGGACCTAAAACAAATCCCCACGGCCACTGTAGATGCGCTAAAACAGAACCTCGCCAGGGGGGGGGGGGGGCGTAAACCGACCAATCACCGACCCAGCCTCCCCATCTGAGTGTTCCGAATCAGGATGGATTGATGCGTTTTCGATCTGGTATGAGTAACCCGTCCCCCCCCCCCCCCAAAAAAAAAACCCTGTATCAAAGTTAGCATAGCGTAGCCTCTTTTTTTTCCTCTTCTACTCTCTCCTTTCGCACTACAACTCCACCAAAGAAACAAACCGAACCCACGAGGCTATCTCATGTGCGAGTAAAATCGCCAGCAAACCAATCCTCACACCCCCCCTCTTTCAGCCCTGCCAAACATAGCAATCCAAATGTCTTCGTCGTCGTCATCGCCCGACGAGCCCACCGCCCAACCCCCCGCCATCAACTACGTCCTGAGCTTCATCCTCGTCGGCCTCGCCTGGGGCCTCACCACGCCCTTCATCCGCCGCGCCGCCCGCACCCACAAGCCCGCGCCTCACCCGCTGCTCGACTCCCCCGCCGTCAAGCAGAGCTGGCTCCGCTCCACGCTCTACGCCGCCGCCTTCTCCGTCCTCGATCTGCTGCGCAACCCGCGCTATGCCGTCCCGCTCGTCCTCAACCTCACCGGCAGCGTCTGGTTCTTCCTCCTCATTGGCAAGGCTGGTGAGTTCTTGAAACAGACACCGCACACCCCCATGTCTCTCATCTTGACAGGCCTCCCGGGTTGTCTCAGATTCCCCCCATCCACGTCCCCATCCCCTTCCACACCTAACCGCCCTGCTGGGCTAGCCCGCAGGGTGGTCGTTTTCCCTCCTTAGTAAAACCATTAGATCTGACCCAGTCTTTGGCCACCTGTTAGAGCTGAGCCTTACCGTCCCGATTGTGAATGCCATGGCCTTCCTCTTTACTGTTGTGGGTGAGTGGTTGGTCGAGGGAAAGGTAATCAGTAGAGGTATGTGCAAGCTTTACTACCCAACGAGTATCGACGTCGATCCGTGGTGATATCAAAGATCAAAGAGCTAATCGTAGAGCCTTGGGGAGGAAAAAAGAAACCGGCATTGGCATGGTACTATCCTTGGTGGGAATTGCATTGTGTGTTCAAAGCAAGACCTGAGGCAAAGGCAGTGCGGTGTATCAGTTTCCATTTTTGATGGCATCATAAACCAGCGGCTGTAATAAAATCAATATATTTGTAAAAGTTTATAAAAAAAAAACTCATTTGCTGTAGAAAAAGGTGAGGCTGCTCCAGGCAGTCCAACTAAGAAAAGAAAAATCTATGACCCCGTATATCCTCCAAATTTTGTATCCTCAAGACGACTGCTTTCTATCACGCAGTCTTGTGGCATGCCATGCCTATGTAAATAGGACGCCCAAACAACCAAAAAAAATTATAACCAAGAGAAGAAAAAGGTATCCCTTTGCCCTGTGGCTGCCTATGAACCTTGTGTGCGTCGATGCCCATACGCCAAATCACGCCCCCGAAAAGAAAAAATCAACTCCGGACCAGAACAATCGAAGAGACCTTGCAGCATCTGCTGTACAAGGCTGTGGCAGAAAAAGAAAAAGAAAAGGTGGTAGGTGGTGTAGCGTCAATGGTGCCTCACCCCCTGAAGAGGAGAAGTTGCTCTTGGTGCCGGCAGTCAAGGTGAGACAAGATGTGGCGGTTGAATCGTCCAGTATTCGCAGCAATCATGTTACATGTTACCGCTGTCGAGCATGAAGCCAGCGCATGATTCTTCGCAAACTCGGATCCTCCATTGTCCAGCGACCCTGCGATTGGTCCGCGGTCAAGAGCTCGGTGTAAACGTACTCGTCGGTAATGGCAGCCAGCTCCTAAGCAACACGAGAATTAGTTACATTTGCATCCCCACTACTTTGGCCGTGCATATGTTGGTAAGAAAGGGATTTTCCCCGACATGTACCGAGTGGAGACGCCATTTCCCGTGGGAAGAGGCTGCGTCCAAGAAATCGGAACCAGGGAGGGAGCCCTTTTGGGGGTGCTAGTTGTAGGTAAGCTTACCGCTCGAAGCTGGTTGTCCAAGGCCTGCAGCTGGGCATGGTTCCCCGGATGCGGTCGTTGACCCTGCAAGACCTGGTCTCGGTACTCAATCCAACGCTGCGCCGCCGCCTGCCTCAAGAGAATCTTTTGCCCCTCGTGCCGCCGAGCGTAGGCGTCTAGCAAAACCCTTTTGGACACCATGTTAGCTGATTCGATGCTTCGTCTGCTGAATGGAAAGGAAAACGCACTGCTGTAGTTCGGCTCTGGTCTGTTCCTCTTCTCCTCCCTGGGCCGCAGGTACCCTGGTATCGGCGGCCACGTCGAGGATGTATTGGCCGTCGATGGTGCACTGGCGTAAGGTAGCCCATCCCTCGGTGTAGTAGTCCTCTTCGTTCTCTGGCTCGACAGGGCCGGCTGCGATGTAGTACTGAAGCGTCCGGAAGTCGGCGAGGACTTCGGCAACTCGGGCGGTGCGGCACTCGTTCACTTCTCGTTCCATGTTGAATTAGTTACTCTTCTCACCAAAAGGCTGAATTGACATGTTCCATGACCATCTTTACGCTCTGGGGTTGTGCTTTGTATGAGGAAGTGGATGCGTATCCCGCGTAAAGCGCATATACCGGTCCTTTAAGGGGGGCGTGCTTGCCGGGTCTGCATGTGTGCTTTACTTTGGGTCTTGGGGGGAGCAGGAATAGCGGGACAATGAAAGCAATTCGCTAAGACTAGTGACCTACATCCGTCCATGGTGTCTAAGGGAAAAGCTTCCGGATGAGACTTGGGGGCCAGGCGCGAAAGGGGGGGCCAAAGAAGCCTAGTTGGTATTTCCGTACAAGGAAATAGGTGAAGAGATGCAACAACGGCTCTCGGCCGATAGACGTCGTTGGCAACGGTGACGCAGTTGTCGTCTTCGAAAGGGAGATTGTGAAAAAAAAAAACGCAAGAGATGGCCAAAAGCCGTTGAAGCTGAAGATTCGAGATGCTGAGCTGAAAAAACAGCACTATCAATTCGATATTCTGCAGTGGATAGCGTGGCAAGATGGAGTAGTCGGGGATCGAAGCTGCTTCAGCGTGGCAAGCAATGAAGAAACTCTGCGGGATGCTATGCTCGATTTGCCTCGACGCGAGATGCTCCATCCTTTTGTATGCTTCGTCCATGATCGACCCCGTCCGGTGTTGTCGGAGGATCCAGCAGAGCTCTCGCCTGGGCCTTGAAGGGCTCGATGCCCATCTCGGCCTTACAAAGCTACGGTGGACTTGGGCCTTGGTGGACGGATGAATCTGAGGCCCTAAGAGGGTAACCAGGCTGAACCATTCAGCTACCACTTGCTCTCTGACAAACACCAACGAGAGTGCTCTCCGTCACCTCCACCCCGGTGGCTCTTTGCAAGCTCAAACCTGAAGAACCCCGGACAAGCTGGCAATCGGGAGCCGTCCAACCGGAGCCGTTGTCAGCCCTATCCTAGCCCCTTGATGCCTCTTGCACCAGCCAGCCTGAGGTCCGAGGCTGGGCGCCCGTGTGGTGCTGGGCTCGCATTCTGGGTGGGTGACTCTTGCGCCAGTACCGGGCCCCGTCGATCTCAGCAGCAGACTGCTAGGCAGAGCCAGACGAGGCTAACGACTCGAGGCAGAGGAAAGCCTTGCCTGCCAGGGGGAGACAGGCCTTTGGTCCCCGTTCCGTGGGTCGAATCAAGGGACCTGTGCATGAGGCCATCGATTCCCCATGACGAAGGGGGGAGAGGGGGGGGCGTCCCGGCAGCGCCGTTAGATGCACGCCGCACCGCTAAAGCAGAAGCAGAAGCAGAAGCAGAAGCAGGTTGCGGTTCGTTTTGAAGCTGCTGCAGGCGGGAAGCTCCCTTCAGGGCAGGACAGAGATCAAATGGCACGCTGTCGTGTCGTGTCGTGTCCGGATACTGGATACTGGACACTGGATCCTGGATCCTCGCCTGAACACCCCTGCGCGGTGGGGACGGCCGTGGATGATCGGGCCTATGGTGTGCATTCGCCCTCTTCCAGACAGACGCTTCAGCTCCGGCTCAGCGGCGCTACCACGCGCAGCCTTGCCGAACGAAGCCAGAGTGACGGGCCCTGCATGAGCTGCGTGTGCCAGGGATCAGCCCCAGGGACCAATGGCAGCCCGTCGTGGCCTGCAGATGCATCGTGGGTTTTTTTTCCAAAGCCGAAGACGTTGTTTTTCTCCCCTGTGGATGATGCATGTCAAAAGGTAAGAGGCAAGTTCTGGAGAGACACCCGCTGCGCCCTGTCATTTGTCCAACGCCGGCCTAAGCCGTTCGGGAGGGAGATTTTTTAGAGGCAGTGCCCGCCAACGCTTCCTTCCTTTCCTCTGTTTTCTTTCCTCTTCCTTTGTTTCCGGTCGTCACTTTTTGCTTCCTGTCCATCGCAGAACCGCAAAGATTCACAATCCAAGCTACGCCTCGAATTGGAATTGGCCATGCGGATGATCCAGAGACACGTCACCGAGCCCGTGGTTGGCGTTTGTATCTCCCAAGTCACGCTGCAGGCTTCGAGGCGCTGCGCCCGATTGGCACCCGTCGCTGGCTGAACTCAGTCCTTGATCATCGCCCGATGATTCACGGCAAGGGTCATCTCGCAATGTTGCATCTTGTCTCTCTCGAGTCCCGACGACTGCAGCTTCCAGATCGGGGCGCTGTGATTGGAGATTTGCATCTGAGACGAGGCTGCTGCCTACTCGACGCCGTGGACACGCAGACTCACCTTGCCCTGTGCCTGTGCTTGTGCATCGTAGCCATGCCCTTGTTGATGCAACTCCAGCTGAATCCAAGGCTTGGCGGATGCCGATGAATCATCCCATCGTCTTTGCTGACGGCTTTGTAATGAGGCCATGTCCGTACGCGTGTCAGGATGGATCATTCAGCTATCATCAAGAAAGCTTAACAAAGACACCGGCATGACTGTTATTGCTATTCAGAACAGAAATTGACTCATAGTCCAACCAATACATTGCTTGACTGTAGCCAGCCGGTCTAAAGGAGGGAGACAAAAACACAGATGATGGGGGAAAGGAAGAGACAAACACTGCAACGTTGCCCTCGACATACCGGGCTCGGCCAAGGAGTCGTTGACCACTTCTAACCCTATACCGGCATCAGATATCGAGTACATCGCCAATCTTGGCTATCCTGATGCCTCTTTGTCTCTAGTTGACTCAATCTCCGAGCAGGGCGTCGAGTTGGGGCAAAGACCGTTACGCTAAGCAGCAACATGAACTCAGGGGTGTGAATTTGTCCATCACTCCCATCACCCTCCCCCCTCTTTGTCTACTAATTATCCACGCAGAGCCGCTTTCAGTGATGGATTCTACTTGGTCACAACCGCCCTTGCCTAGAAATGATACGCCCTGTCCCGACTGCGCTGTCAACCACGCGGCACACCCTCATATAAACGCCACCGTGACAGCAACGTCCAGCCTCAGCCAATGGCATCCCAAAAGCGCCCATCACATGGTGAGATGGGGGCATCCACAAAGCGATTGCCATGTTTTTCTTTCCTCGAACAGCTCGAATCTTGTGCAATAACGAGCCCCCTGCTAGCAAAAGCCCCCCCTTCAGGTGATTACGCCCCCAAGTAACGCGGCTTCTAACGCTATGGAGTGATGGGTGGGTTTCTGCGGGTGACCTATGGTATGCAGCATTTGGTGTTTATCCTGAGGGTATTGTTGGGCGTAACGTTCCGCAGTCAACCCTCCGAGTACTACGCAAGGGATATAAGTTGCAGCATATCCGCTCAGGGGCCAGCATGCAACGGCGTCAACCCTGAGCCCGAGACTTGGGAGAGACAACTTTGTGTTCTTCAAGCTTCCCTTGCATACAATCGCCACCGTTTTTATTTGAAATCAAGGCATCTTGGCAGGAATTTTCTTTCTACTGTGAAAAGGGGACGGAATTTAGCCTGGAGTAGTGCATCTTCAGTGGTGAGTTTACGAGAACCTTTTCTCAAAATAACTAGCCTACAACTATCCAACTATTGTACTCTTCGTTTCTATACAATCTATTTTTATACTCTCCATTTCTATACAATCTATTTTTATACTCTCTGTTTCAATACTATCCATTTCTATACTCTCTGTCTCAGTGTAATATCTTACAGGCACGATTCTATGGCATCTAATCAGACATAAAATCATCTTTCGTCTCGTTTACCAAGATCACACTACCTACCTAGGCGCCTACTAATGCAGCTCACACATCACGACATGCATCTATAAACGTCCAGTCGGCCTAATCTAAACTACTCGCCACCCAGCCAGAAGCAAGCTGTATTCATCTCAGACGATGCAATTATCCCCCTTGAACCATATCAGCTGGCAAGCATCAAAACTTCCTTTTACGAGGTTACGTTGGCCACGCCAAGAAAGATGGATGTCTCACCCGCCACCAAATCGCCATGAACCAAGGCGGCAATGGTTTGCCACATCTTGGAGTTACACAAAGCTTAAAGAATACGCAAATCACTACAATTCAAAAGTTGGAAGCTCAATATTTGGGCCCGCGGGTATTATTGAGCCTATTTAAAACAGTATAGTTTATTCACAAAAGAAGGGGGCTTGCATCTAACAATTAACCCCGTTGAAAACAAAAAAAGTTTGTATTCCAACCAACTAGCGGCTGAGAGCAATACCAAAAGATCGGTTACATTTAGTCCTCCTCAGCGGGAGCCTCCTCCTCGTACTCCTCACCGTCATCGGCGGTAGCATCTTGGTACTGCTGGTACTCGGAGACGAGATCGTTCATGTTGGACTCAGCCTCAGTGAACTCCATCTCGTCCATACCCTCGCTAGTGTACCAATGCAAGAAGGCCTTGCGGCGGAACATGGCACTGAACTGCTCACCAACACGGCGGAAAATTTCCTGGATAGCAGTAGAGTTGCCGACAAAGGTGGAGGAGATCTTGAGACCCTTAGGGGGGATAGAGCAGAGGGCGGTTTGAATGTTGTTGGGAATCCACTCGACGAAGTAGCTGGAGTTCTTGTTCTGGATGCTGCGCATCTGGTCCTCGACCTCCTTCATGGCAACCTTTCCACGGAAGATGGTGGAGCAGGTCAGGTAGCGGCCATTGCGGAAGTCAGAGGCAGCCATCATGTTCTTGGGATCCAGCATCTGCTGGGTCAACTCGGGAACGGAAACAGCGCGGAAAGAATGCGCGCCAGGGCTGGTAAGAGGCGCAAAGCCCACCATGAAGAAGTGCAGACGAGGGAACGGCACCATGTTGACGGCGAGCTTGCGAAGGTCGGAGTTGAGCTGGCCAGGGAATCGGAGGGAAGTAGAAACACCAGACATGACGGCAGAAACCAGGTGGTTCAGGTCGCCATACGAGGGGTTGGACAGCTTCAGGGTCCTCATGCAGATATCATACAAGGCTTCGTTATCGATACAGAAGGTCTCGTCCGAGTTCTCAACCAACTGGTGCATAGACAGGGTGGCGTTATAAGGCTCGACAACGGTATCCGAGACCTTAGGAGAA